CTCTGCCTCTCGCTGGGAAAACCAAGGCAAACACAAAGGTTCTGAGGACACGACCAAAGCCCCACAACAGCAGCAGCTTTTTTGCCCAACTCTGTTCTCTCCAGGCATGAGCAAACAGCCTTTCCCTTCCCTGTGCCTCTCACAGGTGTCACCTCGGATCCAATCACAGCAACATGAGACAAAGGAAAGAGAAATGTGTGGAAAGAATTAAGAACTTCTGGGGGTGTTTGATCTGAAATTATGAGTCTCTTTCTTTGAGGTCATGGCAGTGCTGCTGGGGTGGCTGGGGCAGAGCAGGGGTTGGTTGGGTTGCTGTGTGGGTGTCACCTCCTGTGCAGGCATCCTTCAGCTGGGAACACACCTGGTCCCAGATCTCCTGCTCTCCATCAGGGATTGGGTTTGATCAATCCCAACTGGAATGACCTGCCAGCTCCTGCCCTGGTGCAGGGCATGGCATTTCACGGAGCCCAGATCCAGGGCATCTCCAGAGTCACAAGCCCCCCCAAAGGAGGCACCTCCCAGGTCCAGGGGTGCAGCAGCGGCTTCCCCACCATGGGCAGGTCTGAAGGGGCTTTGCAGCCCAGTCAGGTGTGGGATTGGTGAGTGCCAATCAAAAGGATGTTCTGCAGAAATGGCTGATCTGCTTCTCATGACCATCACCAGGAGCACACTGAGCCCTTCGTGGGGTCTCACAGCAGGCACAGGGTCAGCAGATCACAGCAAACAGAACCAGCAGATGATGGTGCATCATCAGGTGTAAGAGCCTCGACGCTCCTCAGCTGAACCTGCCCATGGACCATGCAGGGGAAGCAGCTCCAGCAGTGGGGAAGGCGCTGATGACTCAAGCCCACGTTCCCAGAAATCCCACCACCCGCAGCTCTGTTGAACCCCTTGGGCAAACCTGTTCCTCCAGGGAGAGAAGCACTCGGTGCTGCTTTCCAGACCCCATGCCACGTCCTGTCCCCTCTCAGCCCCCCCGGCCGGGGCAGACGAGGCGCAGGACGCGCTCGCGGATCTGCCTTGTCCTCACCCCATACACGATGGGGTTGAGCATGGGTGGCACCACTACGTAGAGGTTGGCCAGGAGGATGTGGACGTGGCTGGGGATGTGGTGGCCGAAGCGGTGGGTTAGGAAGGAGAAGAAGGCCGGCACGTAGAACATGAGGATGACACAGAGGTGTGAGCTGCAGGTGCTGAGGGCCTTGAGCCGAGCCTCGGGCGACGGCAGGCGAAACACGGTGCGGAGGATGAGCGCATAGGACACAGCCACCAGCACCACGTCCAGCCCCGAGGACAGCAGCGCCGTGGTCAGCCCATACCACACGTTGGCCCTGATGTCGGCGCAGGCCAGGCGTGCGATGCCCATGTGCTCGCAGTAGGTGTGGGGCATCACGGTGTGGCCGCAGTATGGCAGGCGCTTCAGCACGAAGAGAGGAAGCCCCTGAGAACGGCAGCGACGGCGACCTTGGCGATGGCCGAGGGTGTGAGGATGGCACCGTAGCGCAGGGGGTCGCACACGGCCACGTAGCGGTCGAAGGCCATGGCCAGCAGCACCGTGGACTCCACGATGAAGCTGAAGTGGGTGAAGAACATCTGTGTGATGCAGGCGTCGAAGGAGATCTCCCTGGCGCTGAACCAGAAGATGGCCAACATCTTGGGCACAGTGGTGGTGGACAACATGAGGTCCGCCACAGCCAGCATGGCCAGGAAGAGGTGCATGGGCTCGTGGAGACTCTGGTCCATGGCGATGACGAAGAGAAGGACTGAGTTGCTGAACACGGCGGTGATGTACATCAGGCAGAAGGGGACGGAGATCCAGATGTGGGACTCCTCCATGCCCGGGATGCCTGTCAGCACGAAGGTGATGGGGTCAAAGCTGCTGTCGTTGAGCTCGTTCATGGTGTTTCACTGTCAGCCTGGTTCGGCTCTGTGCGAGAGAGAAGGGACTAAGGACACCTGGTGAGCCTGGATTTGTCCCTCACCCCCGACAGACGTTGCAAATCAGGCACACAATGTCCTGTTGGCACCTGCCTTCCACCCTGAGCCATTCCTGCAGGCTGAGGGGTGAGAGAATCATCAAAGTTAGAGGAGACCTTTAAGATCAACTTCAATCATTGAGGGTCAACTCATTTCTTCTGTACACAGACCCTGTCTGTCCTCTCAGCCCTACAAACTGTGTCTTTGAGGAAACATCTCTGTCCCTCCACTGCCACAGCAAACCAAGTCAGGCCCTTTTTCCTCTCTGCTCTAACCACTGTCACAGGAAGCTTGTAAAAACCACGAGAACAGTGGCAGAAGTCACCCCCAGCCTTGCCACGGTCACTGGCTCCGTCTGTGAGCACACCCAGTGTGTTTCTGCAGGGAGGTGAAGTGACACAGCTTCTCACCCTGCTCAGATCAGTGGCTGATTCATCTCCGAGAGCTCCTTGTACAAACCACGAATCCAGGAATAGATCCTGCACCAGTACAATCCTGGGAAGAGTCTGGGACATGGCTGACATCCAACTGCACTCTGAGGGCTGAGGCCACCCCTGAAACTGCTCTCCTAGAGACTCTTTAGACACTGAGAGGGGCTCTAAAGTCTCCCCAGAGCATCTCTTCTCCAGGCAGAGCTCCCCCAGCTCTCCCAGCCTGGCTCCATGGCAGAGGAGCTCCAGCCCATCCTTTTTCTTCATTCCTTTTCCTCTGCTTTGTAAAGAGAGACAAACACATGGTGGGCTGTGCACCATGATTTTTGGACAGAGAAAAGCTGGTCCAAAGCAGAAATATCCCAGAGAGAGAACCTGAGTGCAGAGCTCTGCACTGGTGTTCACTGGAGACAGGACCTTCCCAGTCCCTGAGCTCAGTTCCTGGGAAGCCTGAGCTCACTGAAGCTTGGAGCAGAGTCCTCAAGCTGGAAGTTCAGAGCTGGGATCTCATCCCCCAGCCAGGATCTCAGAGCACCATCCCTGAGCTGGGATCTCATCCCTCAGCCTGGATCTCAGAGCTGGGAGCACCATCCCCAAGCTGGGAGCTCTGAGCTCGGAGCAGTGTGCCCGAGCTGGGAACACTGTCCCATGACTGATGAGCCTGAGGGTAATTTTGGGGGGTTGAATAATGCAAACAAGCCAAGCTGTGAGTCCTCCACAGAGGCTTTGCCCTGAAAGGGGTTTGAGGAGAAGGAGCACCACAGGGCTGCTGGGTTTGTGTGCTCCTCCTCACTTTTCCCTCCTCCACCACTCGTGTAATCTCCACTACAGGCTAGAAAAAGCTCAGACCAGGGCTGGGATGGAGGAAAACCAGTTGGGTTTGGAGCAAAGCTGTAGCTTTGCCACTCAGCCCTGCTCAGAGCCTGGTTCTGCTCCCCGCAGGCTGCAAGGACCCAGCCAGACGTGCTTGCACTTCTAAGCACTCCCATCACGGAGGATTCTCAGCCTCCCTGAACGCAAAGTGCACAGAAAACATCAGCCGGTACAGAAAAGATCTTCAGCTCACCACAAATATTTACCCCTCCGCCTCTTCCCGCGGCAGCCCTCGCCAGGCAGGTGGCCCGAGCCGTCCGGGGCTGGAGGTGCGACCTGTCGGGAGCGCTCCCAGGCTCCAGCCCAGCCCGGGGGCTGCAGAGCTCCTCGGCAGCTCTTCCCCCGCC